TAAACTAAGACTAAGTATTTTTTTTTTTTAGAAACATGAATTAAACCTTAGTGGTATTCTTCAACCAATGTTAGTTTCAAAGAAAAAAAAATCTTTTAAAATTCCAGGTGATGAATCCAAGTGGGTGTACTTAATTCCTGAATTATGTACTATGACTGGATTGACTACTAAGATGAGGTAATCAGATTTATAAGATAAAGTACCTATAAACAATTTACACAAAACAATATTAAATTGTGTAGGTATTCAATAAACAAAATTAGTGGCGCTGATGCCATCTGAAACACTTATGAAAAATTTCTGTATAGTRGTATACATACCACCTAACCCAACTACCGGGGTTCATTTAACTTCATAAATCCCAACCACAACCAACTCCATTTTAAATTACTTAGACATATATTCACAGCAAACCTAGGATCAGAAAAGCTCTGATAATAAAATGCTTACTCTCAAAAAATAAATATAGTATATACTCTTTTATGGTAGAAAAATAATTAATTTTTAACTTGGTGATCTCTGGGGCCAGAGTAGCGCAGTGGTCACACAGTCGATTGGAAGTCACACAGTCATCGATTCATAGCAAAGTGCAAAAAAAAATTGTGTGTTTTTATGCGATCACCAATTTCTTGCGCTATCATCCGATTGCGTCATAAGGTTCCTATTGAAGTTCAAATTTTGACGATATATTCACAGTCAATTTATCCTCAAATAATTTTAATAATTTTATTTTTATTCTTCAGTTTTAACTGTAGAAACTTAAAACATTCTAATTTCCTATACACAATGAGATTTTTAAAATATTTAGACAAATATTAAGCTAATTATAAGTATATTTTCTATAAATGTTGAAAAACTGTTAATGCTCCATCGAAAAGCATAAAAATGTAATATTACTTATAGCATAATGATTTATTTATACTTTCGTCTAATATAAGCCGTTTTTCAATTACAGAGATAATCATTATCTCATGGCTGATTTAGCAATGTATACAAGAATTGGTCCCACCGAAAGAATTGGCAGGTATAATAATTTTATGGATCAAATTCTTACTACACCTGAGGTAAATATTTTATTGAAATATTGATGAGCARTTAAATATTTCCTTTAATTTTTTCTGTATATTAAAGTCTGCAGATCTACTAACACAATGGAATTTAACATTAAGTAATAAACTCGTTACAATACCTGGTCGTGTATTGCCACAAGAAATGCTTCAAGTAAATGAGCAAAAATTTTCAACTGGTAATGATGCTAATTGGACAGCACAACTATGTTCATCTTCCATGTTTACTTGTGCTGAAATAAAGCGTTGGGCAGTTCTATGTCCAGAAGGAAATAGTAATCAACTTAGACAATTTATCCAGACTTTACTAAAAGTTGCAAAAAACATGTCATTTAATTTACCGCTACCAGAAATGTTAGTATTGGTTATTTATTATTTAWTACATTTTATAACTTGAACAAATTACAAAATATATTATAATGTGTTAATTTATTTTTAGAGTTGAACTACCAAATACAAATATAAGCACATATTTAACTACAATAGATAAATTAATGAATCA